GCCTTGAAGCAATGATTGACGGAGGGTGGGCGTGGTCAGCTCGGAATGCATTTTCAAATTGAATTTTGCTACAAATATCCCACGGCGTCATGATGAAAATGCAATCCTAAGTGTTCTAACTGTTAGTCTAAATGCATTTAGGACAAATAGCATTTAAATTATCATTTTGCTACCATTTCTGCTTGAACATGTTACACATATCAAATCAATTTGTGTTATACATTTTCATTTTAATTTCGCAACTTATAAAGCGTTCAAATGTGCATGCAATTTACATATTAAGACTACTGTTGGAAATGCCAAATGTAAATTATATAATTTAATTTTCATTTTACTTTTGCACCAAACTTTGCACGTATGGGTAATGGAAAATGTAAATTTAAATACAGAAATACAATGCCATTTTGAATATTGCATTGCCATTTTGCATATTGCATTTTAAATTGAATTTCGCTACCTATATGCTTCCATACATTTGTTTCAGTAATTCAACTCAAATTGTGAAACTCGTGTATTAAATAAATTCAGAGCACACAGACTGAAGTGGTTAAGTCTGTGGTTCTTTTAATTGTGATGATTTTGGCTCACATTTAACAAAAACCCACCAATTCACTATCTCAAAATGCAAATCTGTTTCTGTCTGATTATGCCATGGATTTTGTTATTTCTGAGTAATTCTGATGAGACATGATGTCAAGAAGAGCATTAATATTCAATTGAAAAACAAAAGCAGTATAAAACTGAGTTAACACATTTATGTGAGCATTGTGAAAATATAATGAAGCGTAAATTAAAACACTTATGTTTTGTTTGAATACTCAGATTTAATCAAAGACTGTCCATTGTATTCATAACCAGGACAATTTTATTTTCTATTCAGGTCATAAAATGTCTGAGCTCAGCAGAACTGTGGCCTGATTTTAAAGGCCAGTCAGTGTTTAGATTTAGAATAGAGGTAATTTCGCCTTTTTCAGTTTGAAAAGGTGTTTAAGTACATTTTAAGCATTCAATCAGATAAATAGGCCTATTGCCTTTATGTATTAATGCATTGCATTCAGCTAAATGAATAACCTTTTAATAAATGATAGCCTTCAGAAAGGTACCAGAGCAGACCGTTTTACAGTTTAATATGACATTACAAGTCTTGTGTTCAAGGTCATAAAACTCTTAGGAAATTGAATATAAAGTTGATATTTCTAAAAATATCCACTTAAAATAGTTCATTACTTAAATAAAAGAAAAATAATGCAACTGGGTTGAGTCACAACCTAATGTATTTTTAACAATACATTACGTAAACTAACATCTAAAAATACAGATATATTTTGCTTTTATCAGAATTTGCTAAATCTGAAGACTCAGGGAGAGAGACGGCAAAAAAAGGCTTCCTCGTGATGAAAGTGAAAGAAAAAAAAAACAGGAAAATAAAATAGTCACTGGATTTTTGTTGTGTTGTCTATACTGACACATTCAAAGCTGCATCAGCGAGTCATTGTTCGAGTTATTTTTACACACAAATAGCACCAGTTTCATAGGATGACCCAGAAATCAAAACAAACATAAAAAAAATCACATGGGACGACAACAGCACCGAGGATGAGGTTACCACTGATGCAGAGAAACTACAAGAGGTCCAAACTCCGAAAGCTTTGACAAACATAAAGTTTATCCCTTTCGCTTCCTCTGTGTATTCTATGACATGTTCTAAATAGAAAGAAAAGAGAAAATAATAATTATCTTCCTTTTTCCAAAAGCAAATTTAAGATCCAAAATAATTAGGGGGCAGAGGGCATTATTTTCAGGGTTTCTGTGGGTCTTAAAAAGGTTATTAAAAAATAACTTAAAATATCTTAATTCTCCTTCCATGAATAAAAACCCTAAATGGGTCAGAGCAGAGCAGAGAGTCTTAAATTCATAAAGTCATGGAATTAAATGTTTCATACACTGCCAACGAATATGTTCCTCTGTATTTTTGTCTTGTTTTCCCATTTTAAATATCTAAACATCTTTAAATCAAGAAACATTTAGCCTACTTAAGATGCAAACTTAGGAAATTAAGTCTTGTTTTCAGAAACTGAAAAAAGTAGGTGGGTTTATTCATAAAACAACAAATATCAACACTTTTGTCCACTGGCAGATGGTTGTTCTTGTTTATTGAACTAAACTCAGTTTCTCAGAAAGCAAGACTACTTATCTTGTGACATTTTGTTAATAATGAGTATTAAAGATTTATTCCATTTCTATAGTAAAAATGAATGTAACATTTTGGATTACGCGTTGGAATTTCTTTGTGATTATAGTTGTCATGCAAAATATATAAATTCACAACATACTCTCTATGTGTGTGTGTTTAGCGATGGGTTGGACTAGAGCATGACGTCATGTGATAATCTCCAGCTCGAGCTCACAAGTCTCCACATTCAGTCCGGTGTGGAGCGCGTGTGTGGAGAGCTGCGTTGAGCCTCTCCGGAGCGCGCGCAGCGCAACAAGTCTGGGATTCTTTTCGCGCGGCAGTTTGTTCGAATCGAAACAGCTTGGGATTTTACGAGTATTTGCGAGCACGATGAACAGCTCTTGCCATTCAAGCATGAGAAGATCGCGTCACCAGAGCGCACTGACAGCTCAAGTGTTTCAGTGCGTCGGTGACACAACCTAACGCGTGAAGTCTGGAAGCACTAACCTGGCTGTCAGAAAGATGGACTCAGAATGGGTGTAACTCAGTCCAATGCAACGAAGGAGGATGCCAACATCACCGTCACCTCGTGGCCGTACACGGAGACGGCCGCCGCGTTCATCATCCTCGTGGTTTCCGTCATCATTCTGGTCACCATTGTTGGGAACGTTCTGGTCATCGTGGCGGTGCTGACAAGCCGCGCACTCCGCGCGCCACAGAACCTCTTCCTCGTGTCGCTCGCGTGCGCGGACATCCTCGTGGCCACGCTAGTGATCCCGTTCTCCCTCGCCAACGAGATCATGGGATACTGGTTCTTCGGCAGCACCTGGTGCGCGTTTTACCTGGCTTTGGATGTTTTGTTCTGCACGTCGTCCATCGTGCATCTGTGCGCCATCAGTTTGGATAGGTACTGGTCCGTCGCCAAAGCTGTGAGCTACAACTTGAAACGAACCCCGAAGCGCATCAAGTCCATGATCGCGATGGTGTGGGCCATCTCAGCCGTCATCTCATTCCCACCTCTCATCATAACCAAGCACAACGAGAAGGAGTGTTTAATAAACGACGAAACCTGGTACATCCTCTCCTCGTGCCTGGTGTCGTTTTTCGCGCCGGGGTTCATCATGATCACGGTGTACTGCAAAATCTACCGCGTCGCCAAACAGCGTTCGTCCACAGTGTTCGTGGCCAAGAACGGGCTGGAGAGGCAGCCCTCCCAGTCCGAGACGTGCTTTGTGAGGAAGGATAAGTTTGAGAAGGAGTCCCCGAGCAGCAACAGCTCGGAAAGCAACCAGAGACAGGAGGAGCTGGATGATATCGACCTGGAGGAAAGCGCGACGTCCGACAACAAACCCAAGAGCTCGCGCTTCTCCAAGCGCAGGCGGGTGGACGGCGCGCGCTGCTGCCCTCAGAGGACCTGCCGGATCTCCTGGGTTTCCAGTCAGGAACAGAGCAGCAAACAGCTCGCGGTGGCGTCGAAAACCAAAGTGGCTCAGATGCGGGAGAAACGCTTCACCTTCGTTCTGGCTGTGGTCATGGGGGTGTTTGTCCTCTGCTGGTTCCCTTTTTTCTTCACTTACAGTCTCCAGGCCATCTGCGGGCAGAGCTGCGAGCCGCCCGAGGCGCTTTTCAAGCTCTTCTTTTGGATTGGTTACTGCAACAGCTCAGTGAATCCCATCATTTACACGATTTTCAACAGGGACTTCAGAAAGGCTTTTAAGAAAATCGTTTGCTTGACTGCGCAGCGCACCTGAGAGACTCGTGTTTGGGCACGTTAGGCACAATTAAAATGCATGAATGTCATCAGAAATCAAACCAAGTGGAATCTGCAAACTAATTATGGCTATATATATATATATATATAAATAATATGCCATCTGGTATGATTTTCTTTTCTAATCCAATGACATTCAGACATTTTAAAATGTAAAATGTGACTCTAGTGTTCAATTAATTCTTGGTGCCTCTGATGTACATATTGTTTGTATATATTAAATGAGGACATTTTGACTTCACCACAGTATCAACACTCCCTGTAAATACATATAATGTATAAATGTAAACAAAAATGACATTAAATGTTCTATTGTATATTGTACTGTATATTTTCCATACAACTTACTGTACATATGCAGAGTATAAACACCAAATGACAGAATTCTAGTTCTTGGGAATAATGCTGGTGCAGTGTTTATTAAATGGTAGTATCTGATAATTAGCTCATTAGTAAAAAGTGGAAAGAATATGACTTTATTTGTGGAATTGTTTCTGTTCAGAATATGTGGTGATTGTAACATAACCCCTATTTAAAAAATATTGTTGTTAAAGAGACCGGGGCTAGTTGTCACAAGGGCTATGTCTCACTGTCTGTGATATTTTGTGCCAAAAGGCCGGCCATACTTTGTATATTGATTCTAAACATCTGCCTTAAATTAGTATACATTTAAATTTAACAATAAAACCAGGTGTGAATTGTGTTTTCAAATCAAAGGTTGGGGCAAGTTGTCACAATCTCTGCTGCCCAAAATTATATAATTTTGTATATTACCTAGCACATTTTGCTTTTCATGAATTGTTTACAGTTTATATTAGGCTGAAAAGCCTATTTAATGGTGTGACGACTTACCCCACATAGTGTGACACTTCAGCATATTGTTGTAAAAGGTCATCTTTTTTTTCCTGGGAAATAACAATGCAAATGTTCAGTAGCTTTAGTACTCCACACTTTAAGGTTTGTGCCTATATGGACTTAAACCTACCCTAAAAAACATGCATTAAAGTATACAGAAATATAACTAACCCCAGTCTCTTCAATCTGTGGGGGAAAGCAGCTTTTGCAAGGGCTTGAGGATCTCAGCGTCTGATCCTCTATGTGCTGGGGGGGAAAAAGCTCAATCACCTTTGCCATAACTCTATTAAAAGCTCTTATTGAAACCTACATGACTTGTTGGTAACACACAAAGAAGGCTGGTTTCTAATTCAAGAATGATAAAGCTAGAATAACACATTATCTGATTCATGCACACTGCAATCCATCGTATTTTGTATCTTAATCTAAAGTCAGACAGAATATTCCTGCATTCAGGCAGGAGTGGCTGCATAAGAGGTTTTATCTTAAAAACGCGGTCGAAAAAGAGATGCAATATACTGCTTTCCCGAATCCGCTTATCACGATCTAGAGCCCTTCACAAACAAAACAGCATGGTACATGCTGCCTAGAAAAGTTTAAAGAAAAGTCAAAACTTCCTTTTGAAAAACAAAACAGCAACACTGTGCTATGTCGATCTATGTGAAAGTTCGTGCTTAAACAGCATTAATGCAATGCACAGCTCACATCAGCTCCATCAAGCAGAATGCAATGCTTGGATTATGAACCAGGCCAGCAGGGCCTCGAACTGAGAGGTCTACAGCTGCCTGACAGCCAAATATAATCATCTGTAAGAGAAAAATTTATATTGATCCACCAACAGTGCTTGAATGACTGCTGGCAGAGTGTAAAAAATATCATTCATCCCACACATCCACAGCACACGTGTTACTGCAGTTTTACTGTTGTATCATCACTGTCACACTTAATGTATTAAACAAATGGTCCGTTTATTTTTGAAATTGTGACTATTTCTTAATTTAATTTCTCATTTGGAAATTACAGATCTACATTAATTGGAGGTTTTTTGTTTTTTTTCAGCCACTTGACAAGTTGCATTTGCAAAATATAAAATATGGAATCACAAGAAGCTGAAATAAAAATGTATAGGATTGGTAAAAAAGTATTTTTTCATGTTTATTTGATCAGAAATATAGTTGTCACAGTGTGCCAAAGACGAGGACTAGGAGAGATGCAGGTAACGTAAACCACTTTTATTAAGTAAGCACAAACTCATATCAACAGAGGTATCTCCGTGGAAGCAACTAAGGTGAATGTGGCAGAGAGTGCATGAGAACAGTCTTATCTGAGACACCCGGTTTCCAATCCACAGTTCTTTGAGCACACGAAGATCTTGATGATAGGCAGAGCACAGGTAAGTTACAGTCCTTTAGCAGAGTCGAAGAGAAGGTCATAGGAGTAAACTTGAGACCAGCCGATGAGCCAGAGTGGTGAGTGTGCTCTTATAGTGTGTGATAATGAGGTGCAGGTGCTCAGTATTCCGGTGATTGAGGACGTGGCTGCGTGATTGATTCTGTGGTTGTAGATGGTGTCTCCGTGACAGTACCCCCTCCCCCACGGGAGTCTCCAGACGTCCGGGAACCTCGACGACGAGACTGGCCTCGGCCTCTGGGAGCGGGACGGTCAGGGTGGAGTCGGTGATAATCGTCACTTAATGAAGGGTCGAGGATGTCATCTTTGTTCACCCAGGATCTCTCTTCGGGACTGTACCCCTCCCAGTCGACGAGGTATTGTAGATGGCCGCCTCGTTACCTGGAATTTAGGATTTCCCAGACCCGGTAGATGGTGTCGTCGGCGGCAACCTCGGGTGGAGGAGGAGGCACTTCCGGTTCTGTGGAAGGAGGGAGAACAGGATCACTGACAGGTTTGAGTAAGGATACATGAAAGGTTGGTGAAATACGATATTGTCTGGGTAACTGGAGTTCATAAGTCACTTCATTTATCTGCCTCAAGATGTTGAAGGGACCTATGTAGCAGGGACTCCGCTTTTTGCAGGGCAGTCGTAGGCGGATGTCGAGTGGACAGCCAAACTCGATCCCCTGGCTGATAGAGAGGTGTATCCCGACAGTTCTCCTGACCAAGGGAATAGTGGTGGTTGGTAGCAGAGTATACACTGAAAAGGAGTAAGGCCGGTGGACTCCTGACGAAGTGAGTTTTGTGCATACTCGGCCCAAGGAAGGTATTGGCTCCAACTGTCTTGCCGGTGGTAACAGTAGGCCCTGAGATAGCGCACGACCTCCTGGATCTTCCGCTCAGTCTGGCTATTCATCTGAGGGTGATATCCAGAAGACAAACTAACCGACACTCCCAACAGTCGGAAGAATGAGCGCCAGACCCTGGAGATGAATTGAGGCCCTCTATCTGACACTATATCCTCTGGAATGCCAAAGTGAAGGAAAACGTGGTTGAAGAGGGTCTCTGCAGTTTCAAGGGCGGTAGATAGACCCTTTAACGGAATGAGTTTGCAGGCCTTGGAGAATCGATCTACTGCAACGAGGATGGTGGTAAAGCCATTAGAGGCAGGTAAGTCAGTGGCGAAATCAACTCCTAGATGGGACCAGGGTCGCTGCGGAATTGGCAGTGGCACCAGTTTGCCCTCAGGTAGACGACGGTGTGTTGAAATAATGGCACAGACTGAGCATCCTTTCACAAATCGGGTGACGTCCTGGGCCATGTTGGGCCACCAATACCTTCCCTCGAGGGGTGAGAGGGTTCGCTGCCTGCCTGGATGACCTGATCCCGAAGACGCATGTATAGAGTCCAGAAGGGAAATCCTGAGGGAAGTTGGTACATATGTTCGACCTTCTGGACCTCCCGGCGGAGCAGGTTCTTCTTCGGTGGCGGCACAGATGCCATCATCGAGAGACCAGATGATAGGACACACAAAGAGGTCTGGAGGGAGCACAGGTTCTGGATCCTCAGATACAGGGTCAGGTGAGTGAATTCTTGATAGAGCATCGGCTTTAGTATTTTTATGGCCTGGACGGTATGTGACGATGAAGTTGAATCGAGTGAAGAATAATGCCCATCGAGCCTGTCTGGGGTTTAGGCGTTTTGCTTCTCTGAGGTATTGCAGGTTTTTGTGGTCCGTTATGACCTCAAATGGATGATTTGCTCTCGCCAGCCAGTGCCGCCACTCCTCTAGTGCCATAAAATTGAAAGATTGAAGGCGAGTTGGAGAGCCCGTACGGCATAACCTGATATTCATAGTGTCCTGATGGAGTAATGAATGCTGTCTTCCACTCATCTCCCTGACGGATGTGGATTAAATTATAGGCACTGCAAAGATCTAGCTTCGAGAACAGGTGAGCCCCACGCAGTTCCTCGAGTGCTGCTGGGACCAAAGGAAGGGGGTAAGCAAACTTTACCGTCTGGGAGTTTAGATTGCGATAGTCAATGCAAGGTCAAAGTCCTCCCTCTTTCTTGGCCACAAAGAAGCTAGAAGTCGCCGGAGAGATGGATGGTCGAATGAACCATGGCCTTGCTCTCCGGGATCAATAAGGAGTAGATTTTACCCTTCAGTAATTTGACTCCAGGCAGGAGGTCTATCGCACAGTCCCATGGCTGGTGTGGTAGAAGTGGTAGAATTTGTCTAATGTCCTTCTTCTGTGGATGGATTTGGCCCAGATCCAGCCGTGCTGGGCTAGAAATCCCACACCACACAGAGTTCAATGCATGAGAAAAACAAGACCTCCGAATGCCTCTGGTTTCCTCGTGCACCCTAATGATTCTGATCTTATTGTCTCTGAAATGCAGCCAGAATTCGACATCATTTCCTGCTACAATACTTCTGCATCTATGTAACACTGTGGAGGAGTTTGTGTACTGATAATTATCACAGTTTCTTGAAATGTGGCTAATATTTACAGACTGCTATAAGTTTGATTTCACTGACATTTAACACCATTCGTTCTCAACCAGTCAAAAATCTGTTATTAGTTTTAGTTTGAAAATAACTAATAACTAAAGGTAATTGTGAATGACCTTATATCTTACAATTTAGACTTTTTTTCTCACAAATATGAGTTTATATCTTGCAATTTAAAAAAGTATAAATAAATAAATAAATAATAATTGCATCTTTTTACCTCATTATTATGACTTTTTTCAATTGCATGTTATGAACTTGTAAGCTTGTAATTAAAAGCTTGCAATTCTGACTTTTTTCTATAGGAATTCTGACATTTTTCACAAAATTCTGTATACTTCCCAAGATTGATTTTTTTGTTTTTTTATCGCTATGGAATAAAAAATTAACAAAATGAACAAGTGAACCGCATCTTTTATTTCACAATTCTGTTTTTCCCCACAATTGTGAGTTTGTTTTTTCTCAGAAATCTGACTTCATTCACAAAATTACACAATTCTGTTTACATCTTGCAATTCTGTTTTTGTTTCCTTTGTTTCTGCTACATGTGGCATTCCTAACTAGGTCTGCTAGAAGTTTTTATCACTTCTTAACCCTTGCACACACACACACTGTAACACAGATACACAGACCGCAAGAATAAAGGGACTGCTACCCAATTACCGACTACGCCACCCGGGGGCCTATTTCCGGGGAAAGCCCTTCACATTAGAACAAGGCTCACAAGTTTGTTACGGCTGAGTCAGGTATCAGACATGGGTTGAGTAAAAAGAATTAACACTTTATTTTGAAACCATAAAAACAAACTTTAACATACCAATCAACAAAATAAACAAAATAAAGAGTCACACTAACAACGCGTAAACATTACCACTTCAGAATTTGGGGCTGGCACCTCTAAGCAGGATGGAGACAGCAATCATACGTGCACACTCACACCACAGCACGCCACACCTCACTGTGAGCACAGCATTCAGGCCAAAAACCCACCACCACAACACAGGGAGATGCCAATCCTCTGCAACTGGCCACACCAATTCTGAAGAAAAAATAAAAAAATTAAACCAAACAAACACTTAATGGTCTTAAAAACACATTACACAACAATTTTACACGCTGCATCCGGCCACAGCAACAACCAATTTGCCGACTGACTAAAACCAGGCAACAGTAGACAACAGCGTTACAAAAAAAGAAAAAGAAAAAGAATACAAAATAACCCCAGGTCAAAACACAATAAGAAAAGAAAAGAAAAGAACCACAAGAAAACAAAATACAACTTGAATCAAAGCACAAATAAAAATAAAAGAAACTCAGAAAATGACTGATAGCAGTGAGGTGACTGATCGTCTATTACACGCCGCTTAGCTTAAGACTTTAATTGAAGTTTTCTACTCACAACACATTTACAACAGATGGAAAAAAAGGCACCACACCACAGGTCCCAAACCACGGTCCAGCTGATCCTGCGGGTGTTAAACGCTGTAAATGTAAACAGTTAGAGGAACGCAGGCACTGTGCGACTACACAGAAGCTGCAACAACCTAATAACGCTGATCTGCTGGTCCAATCCAACCGCCGAGTCGTACAATTCAGTCTCCCTTGATTCCCCGAAACAGGATAATCATCACTGTGGCAAGGTATGATAATATATCTCTATAGCAAAACGAATGCAGAAAACCGGAACAGCCAGCAGACAGGCTTCCACAAAGGTTTAGACAAGACCCAAAGCCCACTGCAACGTCCCGTACACGTTGGCCCGCACCTTGAAATGTAAGAACGAGCCAAGCCACTAACGGTCACACAATTAAACGCTCGTAGTCAAAACATACCTGTAATGCGATTGGCACAGCGACTGTTGCATATTAAATGCATCTCCATGGAAGCAGCCATGGCTGAAGGCGTTCCGAAAAGCTCCTCAGTCCACCCTCGCAAAAGTTCACACGCCCCGCCGGAAGTAAGGTGATTCTCTTGCTGACGCAGAAAAGACGCACACACATAGCGACACTACGGCCCCTTTTATATGCTACCAAATGAGCGTAATTAAAAAGACACTCCCTCTATTAATGAATTACGTCAGAGGTAGAGTACTGCTACAGTCTACCCCCCCGTTTGTCATCGTCGTCCCCACGGTGAAACATCTACAGAGTCTTACCACACAAGACCCTAATTCCACGGCCTAAACAAAGCCATAACGGCATTAGCCCCACACGTCGGAGAGTCCGGCGCTCTTACATCCCTGGTCCCCATAGTTCATGGTAGGTGATGCACATTGGAATGTTGACCTGCCCCTACTCGCCCTGTTCGGAGTGGGACCACCACAGAAGAATTAGACAGTTCCAGGGAAGAGGACCTTAACCCAGGCAATAAACCTGCGCTGGCCTCTGCTGTAGATACTACCGTAGAATCGTCCGCAAGAGGAGCAGTAACAAGTACTGCACCCGATGGATGCGTATTTACAGCGGTCCCTTCGCAACCCATAGATGGAGCCTCAGACACCACATAGGCCAGATCCCCATCCTCCAATTCTCCCTCGGCCTCCAGGGGCATCAACAACTCAACCACACTCTCGGGGAGATCAGGCGATGCTACTTCCCCTTGGGCTCGAGGCTTTAATGCAGAACGATGGACATGCCGAACCTGACTCCGGTCACTTACCGGGGCTACTGTATACACTGAACCGCCAGTCAGTGGGGTGCTACCAAATGAGCGTAATTAAAAAGACACTCCCTCTATTAATGAATTACATCAGAGGTACACTGTAAAAAGTAATACCTAGATCTAACTTATAAAAAGTGAGGCAAGTGGCTGCATTGGATGTTTTAAGTTGAGTCAACTTGCAGCCTTTTTAAGTATAATAAACACTGTAACATTACTTAATACAAACGCAACAAAATCAAGTTGAGTTAACTAACCTGAAGCACCCCTTCCCCTCCGTCAGGACGGAAAGCCTTGCGATACAACAGGCCCTCTTGCTCCACTAACCGGTCCCATTGTCGAAGCAGCGTGTTCACCGGCTTAGGCAAGAGTTGCCACTCTTGCGGCCCTGGATATTGGCCTTGCCGCCAAAACTTCAAGGCTTCCCCTATAACTGGGTCTGCCTCCTGGAGGGCAATAATGTCAGGTGCCGAACGACTCGGCAAAGCATGCATTGCACTCAACGTGGTCGCCTGTACTGGTTCTAGGACCACCGCTCTCTTCAACAGCTCCGTCACAACCACCCCTAGTGAATCACTACCATCGATCTGTTGCACCACAGAATGTAGCCGTGACAGTGCATCAGCATTTTGGTTAGTTCTACCTGCCCGGTACTGGATCTCGAAGTCAAATGCGGCCAATTCGGCAGCCCACCTCTGCTCTATAGCCCCCAGCTTGGCCGTAGCCAGATGACTTAACGGGTTATTATCGGTGCGTACAATGCACTTGTGCCCTAACAGATACTCTCTAAATTTTTCCGCCATGGCCCACTTTAGGGCCAAGAATTCGAGCCGCATAGAGCTATATGTGGCCGTATTACGCTCAGATGGCTGAAGGCTACGGCTAGCATAAGCAACAGGTCTAATCTTCCCACTAACCTCCTGCGAAAGCACTGCTCCAAGCCCTGCATAGCTGGCGTCAACTTCCAGTATAAAGGGTTTCACAAAATCCGCATACGCCAAGACTGGTGCAGTCGTGAGCTTGCATTTTAAAGTCTGAAATGCATCCTCGCACTGTGGGGACCACACCACTGCCAACTCCTGACTATGTTTACCTGACTTACCTCGAGTTAATTCAGCCACTATTTTGTGTAGTGGAGCCGCCAACTTGGCGACTCCCTCCACAAAACGCCTATAGTAGCCAACGAACCCCAAGAAGGTTCGCAACTCGGACACAGTCCTAGGACAAGGCCACTGAGCTATGGCCTCAACCTTGCTTGGGTCCGTCGCTACTCCCTGGGCCGAAATTACATGGCCCAAATACCTTACCTTTTCACGGAAGAACGCACATTTGCCCAGCTTTACTTTGAGGCCTTCGGCTCTTAAGCGACCCAGCACCATCCTCAGTCTCTGCAGATGTTGCTGCACAGACGAGGAAAACACAATAATATCGTCAAGATATAACAAGACAGACTGGTGCCGCTGGTCGCCAAAGAGACGCTCCATCAAACGTTGGAATGTGCTTGGCGCATTGCACAGGGCAAAGGGCATCCGATTCCACTCAAATAGCCCAAAGGGTGTGCAAAAGGCGGTCTTGGGACGGTCAGATTCAGAGACAGGAACTTGATTATACCCACTGGCCAGATCTAAAGTGGAAAACCAGTGCGCCCCTGTCAATGAATCCAATGTTTCCTCAATACGAGGCAACGGGAAAGCGTCCTTACGTGTCTTGGAGTTAAGCTGACGATAGTCTACGCACATGCGCAGGCTACCGTCCTTCTTCCTCACCAACACGACTGGAGAGGCGTATGGGCTGCAACTCTCCTGAATAACTTGCGCTTCAAGCAGCTGGCTAATGTGGGTCTTTACCAACTCATAGTCCGATGGCGGAATGCGTCTATAACGCTGTCGAACCGGAATATCATCAGTTAGGGGGATCTCGTGAGAGAGGAGGTTAGTACAACCCAGGTCCCCTTCGTGTATAGACTACACACTTTGGTACTCACTAAAGAGAGCCCTAACCTGCTCCTGTTCCTCCACTGACAACCCTCCTAAATCGGCCGACTCAATCTGCTCGGACGTAACTGAAACGTCGCAGGAAGCTACCCGCGCGGTCACCGATGACACTTCAGTCAATCCAGCGGGTAAACCCACCAAGTATACTTCCCTCAACTTTCCTATGACCGTAGTGGGATAGAGCACTACACCCACGGTGCCAACATTAACGACAGGGACCGAAAGCGTACCACCATTTACCTGCACCAAGGAGGGCGAGGCCAATAGCCCTGCAGGCAAACCAGTCTCAAGGGGCTCAAATAGCACGGTTTTGCCCGCAAGCGAGGACGAACACGTTGCGGTCACAAATTTCAAAGTGCCGCCTGAAATGCGACACACGCTATGCCCCCTTACCTTCACATTACTGCCACCATCTAAAGTGCGAGTAACTTGTTGACAATCTTGGAGTGCCCGGACAATTTTTGAATCCTGAGCCACAAACGGTAGCTCAAATAAAGTGGCTTGTTATGCGCCAAAAATCTAAAGAAGAAGAAGAAAAATACCGTTTGCGATGACGTCAGGTTTGTAAATAATGACAGAAATGTACTTTTTGGGTTAGCTATTCCTTTTTATTTCTGAAAATGTCTGAAAATACACTGAAAATGGTGTAGGATTTACAGTTTTCTCTCAGATATTGCTAGTAAATCGACCAAAAAGCTTGCGGTAGCAGCGACTAAGCACATTCATTCCCAGAATGCCAGGTGTATCTGTGCCACCCCCCGGGGGATCACGGACCACCAACACCCCACAATCAGAAATTGTATTGCCGCACAATTCAATGTCTAGTTCAAGATACCCAATATATGGAATTTCGAGTCCATTAGCGGCACGAAGCTGCAGCCAGTGACACGATCGCAACCAATCCTGGCCCCATGGCTCAAATCCCAGCCGAAAACAGGTTTCTGTAATGGTTGACACCATGGAACCAGTATCTATCAAACAGGGTACCTGTGGCTATGCAGCCCGGTAGGAACTAGTTTTCCGAAGAATTAGGGCCAGACAAGAGCCTTTGTTCACCAGGCAAGGAAGCGACAAAAGGACATGACGGAGGGTGAGAGCGTTCCCCGTCACACTCTCGCGCAAAATGACCCGGTTGTTGACACCTTCTACAGATCAATTGGGATGGACGAGACGCACGACCACGTGAAAAGGTATTCTGGTTACGGGCTATAGTTTGGGTGAGCAGATTTATCTGCCGTTGCTGCTGATGCAGCATCTCTCGCAGCTCACTTAGTTCGGATGACTGACTCCCCTGAGCCGAACCCAATCCAGAACTTCCCCGAACCTCATACTGAATTCCACTTACCAAAGGGACCGACTGACTTCGGCCCCGGGCACAACCTGGCATTCCCTCCCTTTCCCAACGAATTGCTTCCCCCCGGACCTCTAACAACGTTACAGTGGGCTGACGTCTTATCAATTGTTTCAACTCTCGACGAAGTGCATTAATGGACACACATTCAACGAACTGATCTCTTACAACAGTATCGCCATTGGAAATAATGTGTGGCGACTGGCTTTTAACCTTCTCAAAAAGACTTAGCAAAACGTGTAGGATTTACAGTTTTCTCTCAGATATTGCTAGTAAATTTCACAAACAATTACACAGCAAGTAACACACTGAAATAAAACCCTCCTGTTGTGTTCAAAAACTGGGTACAGCTGCAATTTACCAAAAAGCAACACTATGAAACCTACTTAAGATTCATGTAAAAACAGAAAACCTCTACTGTAGCATGTCAAAAATATATGAGAAATTCCCTTATATTGTTCGTTGCATTTCTTCTGTTGCATTAGGGTTATGAGTCTCACTTTCAAGTAAACTTTGAGTCTTAAAGTAAGTCTTAAATCAATGGGGAAGTCAATATGACCCCAACACAAAAGTCCTAACAATTTTTGTACAGCCTTTTCAAAACACACCTAGCCTGTGTGTTGAAACTTTGCATGCACATTTATGACACTAAAGGAAAAATATTTACCAAATGTCATGGAATAGGCCAAATAGTTTAACCAGTATTTCAAGCAGTTTGAAAATCAAGTGCGTGTCAAATTGACTCCAACAATGGGAGGGTTAAACATCAAACTTGAAAAAAAAAAGGCTAAAATAGTATTTTCTTCTATTTTTTCTATTTTTATTTCTTGTATAATTCAGTGGCCTTCAAAATGGTGTCACACTTTGTGTATGAATGTCACTGCATTAGATAAAATATAAAGCAAAGAAAGTGGCATTTAAAAAAGAAAAACATTTTCAAAGCCCCAAAAATTCACAAAAGAGTTTTAAACCCGTTGATTAAAAAACACTGAGAAACAATGCGGAACATGTACATTTATTCATTTAACAGACGCTTTTATCCAAAGCAATACAACAAGTGATTCATCTTAAGAAGACAATGACACGAGAAATGCAG